GGAGACGATGATCTAGACGATGACCGAGACCATGGTTTTCTCGTGTTCTTGTTGGCTGGGGGAGGGGGAAATTTATTGCCTTTCTTGCCAGTACCTTCCTCTTGCTCCTCTCTCAGATTCTCCAAGAAGACATCTCCATAGTCTCCTCGCATGTCGATCGATTTGCGCCGAGCATTCTTATGCTCCTTATCATCCTGAGTGCGGCTGTGACTGCTGGCGCGCGAGTGGGACTTGGATCGTGATCGCGACCGAAGGCGATGAACAAAGTCGATGATAGAACTGCGACGGCTACGACTGCCAGAAGGGGTTGTATCCTTGTTGTCTGGGTTATGTTCCTGTTGACGGTGTTGGTTACGGCCTCGTTCAAGGGCCTGTTCTTCCTCGGGTGCAATGTGGATGGATGGCGGAAATGTGATGGGATCGATTGTTGTGTAAATGGTCATTGTTGTGTTGTAGTCTTTATTGTTAGATTAGATATGTGATTGTAATAGGAACCAGGCAAAGAGCTTTTGGGCTTTTTATACACGGTACCCCGTAGCGACCCCATGCCTATGGGGTTTCATCTCGGAGGGTGAGATCTTCCATAAGCGGCATTCCCTAGAGCTCAGCCCAAATAGCTCGCCATAAGCAAGACCCGATGTTTCGGACACCATTTGAGGGCTCGTTTTATGTGAAAATAGTATACAGTCTAGCTTATTTACAACTTGCTCTTGGCGCCAATGACACCCAACTCTTTGCCAATCTCGATGAAGGCAGCAGCAGCACGCCGGATCTGTTCTTCGCTGTGAGCGGCGGAGACTTGGACACGGATACGGGCTTGGCCCTTGGGTACCACAGGGAACGAAAAGCCTACCACATAGATACCGCGCTGAAGCATCTTCTCAGCAAACTGTCCAGCCAAACGGGCGTCGCCCAACATGACAGGAGTAATAGGATGGTTGCTTCCCTATTTTTGCACAATATCAAGAGATTGAATTAATATTTTCAAATTCTTCAAAAATAATCATAGGGTGTTTTGCTCGCATTTTGGCGTACCTTGATAGTGAAGCCGGCGTCGGTCAAAAGCTTCCTGAACAGCTTGGTGTTTCCCCACAATTGATCAAACAGGCCGTTGGTTTTGGCGCCCTCGATGAGGTCAAGGGCAGCGCTGGCAGAGCCAACTACAGCTGGTGGAAGACTGTTTGAGAACAAATAAGGACGGCTTCTGTTTCGGAGCAAATCGATCATCTCCTTGCAGCCTGTAGTATATCCGCCAGCAGCGCCTCCCAAAGCTTTGCCCAGGGTCGAATTGATAATGTGCACACGATCCTGAACGCCATAGTACTCTGCGGTGCCACGTCCGTTGGGTCCAAGGAATCCAGTCGAGTGGCAGTCGTCAACAAACACCAGAGCATTGTACTTCTCGGCCAAGTCGCAGATCTTGTCCAAGGGGGCAATCTCGCCATCCATGCTAAAGACTCCGTCCGTTGCAATCAGCTTGAGGCGAGCACCGGCCTTGTCTGCCTCCTGAAGTTTCGACTCCAAGTCTATTTTGAGAATGAAGGCAAGAAAGTCAGCAATTTGAGTCGTAACTGCCTTGGGAGTCATGCCAAGGTCCCGCGAATAACGCTCCTACAAGGTATATGCTTGAATTGGCCTTACCCTTCATGTCGCAGTTGTTGTAGCGGAATCGCTTGGCTTTGCAGAGTCGGATTCCATCAATGATACTAGCATGATTCAGAGCATCCGAGATGACTGCATCCTTGTCTGTCAAAATTGTCTCAAAGATACCGGCATTGGCGTCGAAGCAGGATGCATACAAGATAGTATCCTCAGTGCCATAGAATTTGGTGATCTGATCCTCGAGCTCCTTGTGAATGTTCTAGTAACGGTTAAAAAAATCGATATGTTCCATGGATTAGCATAAAAATTACCAGATCAGGGACTACTCGGAATAAGAGTGAAGGACGCTATACCTGGGTACCGCAAATAAAGCGAACGCTGCTCAAGCCAGAGCCGTGGGTGTCCAAAAACTTTTTCGAGCGTGCAACAACCTCAGGGTGATCCGCAAGACCTAGATACAAGACACAATTCGTTCTCAGATAACACATCCTGCAAGCTATTTACAAACCGTATCTTTAGATCGCGCAAAATACCTAGGTAGTTGTTGGCACAAAAGTTGATCTGGGGCGTAATCTCGCCGTCCTTTCCGGCGACTCTGATATCGCTGTGTTGGGGTGAGACAATAACACGCTCGCTCTTGTAGGTGCCGGCGGCCTTGATCGAATCAATCTCTGTCTGCAGGATGTGAGAAAACTGGGTCTGGCTCTTTGTTGACGACATGGCTTCTTGGATTGAATCGTTGGTGAGACTGATTGATGCCGAATTGAATGTGATGTCGAAAAAAAAGATGCCTGTCCTTGCTTGCGGAGACATCGAAATTTCCCACGAACACAATGCCAGTCACTCCACTCCGCGTTTCACTTGTCTCGTGGATCTGACATGGACGAGCTGCTCTCACAGGGCACGACGGATATGTGAAGGAAGTCCCAAACCAAGAAAAAAAAAAAAAAGACACATAACACAGAGCGCAATGAAATCGAAGAAAGAATAAAACAAACAACGGATAAGTTCAGTGGCATGTGCAAAGGCAAAGGTGACAAACATCAACACTGGGTCAAAGTGGAGAAGGTCGTCGAGCGACCACATACACACTATGGCTAAATGCTTTGTTCACTTCTGACTTTTTTTCCTTCACCACAACAACTTGAAAGCATTCAATTTTCATATTGTGTCATCCGCCTCTAAACATCATACTCGACCATATTGAAATAGTAACAATCAGCTATAAGTATCTCCTGTCGATTTTTCTTTAGAGTGGAATGGATGATCTTTGGAAGCTCTTGGCGATCTTGAGGGTATGGATAAAGTGTCAAACAAAACAGCAAGCAAATCTTCTGCGTGTCCCAAGAGGAATACGAAGTAGTCAGCATGAACTCGTGTGGAGGCGGATTCGCGCACTCGGGCAGCTCTTGGGCCTCCTCTTCTTCAAGCAATTAAAACAATGGGCGGCAAAAAAGCAAACAAAACGGTGGAGCAGTTTATGCCGCATGCATGTGTCCACCATTTACTGACTGTTGACTGGATCGTCCATCCTCGCCCTAGGGTACCTTTGTTTGTGAAGTAGGAGACGAGAAAGACGAAAGATGTGTGATATGAACTCGGAAGGACAAAATGAACAAAACAAAAGCTCCTCGATAAAAACCGTACATTTGCTTCTGCTTCCTCCTTTTTTTTGTTACCCTCCTCATTCGCCTTTGTCCAACCCTCAACTTCACTCTCCACTCTCCACTCCTCGCCCACCAAAACACACCTCATCTCTATTTCTCAAGAAAAAATGTCTTACGTCCAGCCCATTCTCCCAACTGAAGGTCGACTCGGCCACCTGACTCCCGAGCAGACCGAGAAGTTGCAGCAGTTCTGGGTCCGCCTTTACGATATTTTCGACGGCAAGACCCCGTTTGACCAGACCGTGCCTTCTTCCTTCAAAGGCCAGGCCCGTGATGAAGATGCTGCGGCTGCTCCCAAGGTCGGATGGTTTGGTCGCAGATCAGCTTCGGAGTCGTCTTCTGCTCCCCGTTTTACCGGTGAGGACCTCAAGCAGTGCTTCTGGAAGCTGACGATGATGGATCATCCAGACGTGATTGTTCTTAAGGTAAATATCTCGCACTTTCGATAATCATCCTTAAAATCACTAGTCGTCCTAACTCTTGATCTTGTTCTCCAATACTAGTTTATTCGTGCTCGCAAATGGGTCTTGGACGATGCCATGAAGATGTTCCTGAATGCCCTCAAGTGGCGCATTGTCGAGCGTATCGACGAGCTGATCGAGCTTTCCGATGTCGAACTGGATGCCAAGTACCCCAAGTTCATCGAGCAGATGCAGAAGGGCAAGGGCTACCTCCGTGGCGCCGACCCATTGAACCGACCCATGTCTGTCGTCAACACCCGTCTCCACCATAAATCAGATCAACCTGCAGAAACTATCCACCGCTTTACCCTCTTTGTGAGTTTTGCATCTTTTTTTTTTTTTGTTACGCCTCGTACGATTGTTATGCTCGTGCTCACCACCATTTTTTTGTCTTGTGATTTGTTTATCTGCTAGACAATGGAATGCGGTCGCACGGTCCTTCCTGTTGGAGCAGAGACCGTCATTGTCATCTTTGACCTCTCCAACTTTGGACTAGACAACATGGACTGGGGCTTTGTCCGTCTCTTTGTTCAATGCTTCGAGTCCTACTACCCAGAGACCCTCGGTGTCTGTGTCGTCCACCGAGCACCTTTTGTCTTCTGGGGCCTATGGAAGCTGATCCAGCCCCTACTTGACCCCATTGTCGCCTCCAAGTTCGTCTTCACTCGCAACAATGAGGAACTCCACAAGGTTGTCCCCCGTGAGCGCCTGCCCATCATCCACTACGGAGGCCTCGACGACTGGAAGTACAAGTACGTCCCTGCCGTCGAAGGTGAGAACTTTCACCAGAAAGACCTGGCCAAGAAGGAGGAGCTCCTGGCCGAGCGCCATGCTCTTGAGGACAAATTTGATGCCATCACTCGTGCCTGGGTAAAGACTGCCAGCGGCAAGAGTGACTCCGAGCGTGACGAGATTGCAGAGGAGCTTCGAGAGCAGTATGCACGCTTGAGTCCTTATGTCCGTGCCGTGAACTTGTACCAGCGATGGGGAGTCGCCATCGACGGTCAAGTCAACTGGACATACAATGTCAAGAACGACGCCGAGGCCGAGGCCTTGAAGATGAAGTAAATTATCAAACACTCGCAAAATGCTCCAGAAATAAAGCGCATATTGTATTCTCAAGTCCAAAAAAAAGGCTAGTCGAGATACCCCTCTTCTAATCGCCAGAAGTTGGTACTTCAGGTACAGAAGCGACAAAAAAAGGCTTTTGAACTCTCCACACTAGTAGTAGTAGTAACCAAAAAAAGGAGCACAAAAGATGATGTGGTTGTGCCGAAACCCGGATTTGAACCGGGGACCTCTTGTTTACAAGACAAACGTAATAACCCCTATACAATTCCGGCGCATTCACCATCCTCAAGAAACATTTTAAGCTCCTGATTGGTTGCGACTCAATTTTCGATTCACTATTTAGGATCAGGTTAGACAGACAATCTCACGGAGTATCACGTGATTTGAGAAAATACGTGACGTCACTCGATTTTTTGCTTTTTCTGTATTTTTTTCGCTTTGTTCAATCTTTGTTTCCTTCTTCCCATCATTATAAATAGCCATCGAACATCTCCTTTCACCGCACAGTCCAGGGAGAATCATCCACAAGCACTTTCAACACACACGCACACTACCAACACCTCATTACTTTCTTTCCATCAAAAGGCCTTGTCCCTACCATCGATTGGAAAATCATCGTCTCCACCCCATCCCTTACGTGGCCTCCTCCCCATTTCACCTTCCGCAGCACATTTGTCACTTATTCCTTTGATTCGAGCAACCCAGTTGTCATTTGTCTCTACAACAAGCAAACAACGCAGACAAGGTCGAAACCAACAAAGCCAAACGTCAATCAATCCTCGCCGAAACAAGATTCACCCATTTCCTAGATTCTAGAATCCTGAAAATCTCACTTAGCGCGCCCGTTACAATCAACCATGTTTGCTGTTCCATCCTCGTCATCCGCTGCGCCTGCTGCCCAGCCAGAGAAGCCTGTTGAGTTGTCGACTGAAGAGCAGGCTGTGGTGGATGCTCCTCTCCATTCTGCCACTGGTATCGTGCCTACACTTCAGTAAGTATCGAAAGCGAGAGAGAAAGAGAGTGTGAATAGTAAAAGTGTGTGTTGGGTGTGTGCGAGCGAGCGAAAATTTGAGAAAAGTGAAGGGGTTGCTAGGAGGGAGTGAGAGAGTTGTGGTGCCAGACATGATGTGGGTGAGGTGCATAAAGGAGTTAAGTGAGATGTGTCCTGAACTGGAGAAGGAAGTTTTTGGGATGAGCATGGTTTTTTGTTTTTGTTTTCGGTTGCCATCACAACATACTTTTATTCCCTGGGAGTTCTCTTTATGGGCTTGCCTTCAGTGGCTTTGACCGATGCTTTGCCAAAATTGAGTCACACACATGATCGTGCGTCGGTTTATAAATAATTGTCCAGAGTTGCTAATTTGATACGCACCTTTGTAGGAACATTGTTGCAACTGTCAACTTGGACTGTCGCTTGGACTTGAAGACCATTGCCTTGCATGCTCGAAACGCAGAGTACAACCCCAAGGTACAAACTGCCTTTTTTTTTGCTGTTGATGATATATTTATGAAGCAAGAGGCTTTTGGCGCATGGCATTTGGCGAAATATGGGGTTATGGCAAATAAGAAAAAAAGAAAAAGGGTTATTCAACTTTTCTTTTCTTGTTGTAATCTCTTGTCTCTTCCAGCGTTTTGCTGCTGTGATCATGAGAATTCGTGAACCAAAGACGACGGCTTTAATCTTCGCCTCCGGCAAGATGGTCGTCACTGGTGCAAAGTCCGAAGACGACTCGAAGCTGGCCTCGCGCAAATATGCTCGTATCATTCAAAAGTTGGGTTTCCCTGCAAAGTTCACGGACTTCAAGATCCAGAACATTGTCGGCTCCTGCGATGTCAAGTTCCCCATTCGTTTGGAGGGCTTGGCCTTTTCTCACGGTCCTTTCACATCTGTAAGTTTGCCTTCAATAATTTGCTCCGCAATGGGTACAGCGTTCATTTTAATGACATTCTTATCGCTCTCTCCTTGATATTTCCAACAAACAGTACGAACCAGAACTGTTCCCCGGTCTCATTTACCGCATGGTGAAGCCCAAGATTGTGCTGCTTATTTTTGTGTCTGGAAAGATTGTGTTGACTGGTGCAAAGGTAGGAGAAAGATACCACCTCGGTACCCTTTGGTTTATGCCATCATTACTTGTTCTTAATTGACGCATCACTAACATGACTCCGTCATATTAGGTCCGCGAGGAGATCTACCAGGCCTTTGAGGCTATATACCCTGTGCTGACAGAGTTCCGAAAGCCCTAAGCCAGCCAGGGACTCTTTTCTGCCTATCCAAACAAACCCTCACTCAAGCACAGGAAGGGAGATGAACTACCATCCGTCGCTGCCTACTTTGCAATTACTATCCATCCCACTTTTGCAGTTGTGCTTCTTCTTTATTCTTCAAGCTAATCAGCTTCCTCCCCACATTGTATTGTATCTTTTTCTTTGCTTGGACTTGTTTGAGGATCGATTTCACGTCTCTTCTCCTTACCTGTCAAGTTGCATCTTTTTTTTCTTTTTTCTATTTCCTTTCTTCTTTTCGAACATGTATATTATTAACTCACCCAACCCACAAACAACAAAAAAAAAACAGTTTGCTTTCTCTCCTCACTAGCACTCAACCACGGCCACGGTAGCATTTTCTTTTTTTTCTTTTTTTTTCTCGAAGGAAATAAAAACATTGAAAACTCTGATATCTTGCATCCGAATATGTGTGTATGATCGTGTCTTGCAATCATCTGGGCGACTCTTTTTGAATGCTCGCGTCGATCTCCGCAGAAATTCCTTTGCCTCAGCCACACGATTTTTGTTGTGCGCCCGACCTTTCCTTGGTCGGATTGCCGAAAAGACGATCGCATTCCCAGGCACCCAAACTCCCCACCACACTCATACACGTCGAGCCCAGCTTCCATTTTCCGATTCTCTTCTCATCCATTGGCCCCATCCATCTCACAATCCTTCCTTCGTTTATTCCCAATCGAATCACACTATCCCCATCCATCCTCAATACTAGTGGACTTGGACAACCAGTGATTGCCCGCCTCTGTGACCTCCGACAACCTTTATTTGACGCCAAATCAGACTCAATTCTGTAAGTTGGATCAGAATCATGAATCGCTCCCTTCGTCCCTCGGGGTGTGGAACCGGCAGAGCGTGTTACTAGAGTACCCTTTCTCACTGTCATACTTATTTTTTCCATCCACAGGACTCGTGGAGCAGAGTCGGGGTTTTTTTCAGGTAGTCAAGCTTTTCACCTACCATGCACAGATCCACAAGGCAGATATGGTCGAGCTCCTCCTCGTCATGTTTCTTTTGTGATCTCCAACTCCTGGGTCAAGCCATGGTTAGGACATCACCTTTCGGACCCCAGGCTCGGTTGCAGACACAGACACAAACAGGGCATGGACAGACGCGGGGAAAACGGACGTTGCACAAATCATTAGCTCGACAACAGAAAACTGTGTCCAACGTCGGAGCACTCGCTGGCCAGATCGGTCGTCCACCAAGACTCATCCCAACTTTGACTTCATTATCTCAACTGGAGCGTGGAGCATGCACTTTCAGTACGGGTATCGCGCCAAGAGCCCAAAGTCTCCCTTCAGCGGGATCCCAGCGCACCGGAACATATGCCCTCTCCCCAAGTATACCAACACAATCTCCTCCGCCACGGATATCAGTCCAATCTGCGCCTCGATTCATCTCAACCTCCACCACGTCATCCATCGCTTCCGACCTTGAGACCGAAGTCGCCTCCATGTCACTACCAGGAACAATACCGTCGTCAGCACCTCCGATCCTGGATCTTTCGACCGCTGTTAAGGAAACTACCTCGGAATTTCACCGCCTATTCCCGGATCAACCTCGAAAGACTTTGGACCAATTGACTCAGGAACGATCGCGAGACCATGCACCCTGGCGTAACCAAACCATGCAAGCTGGATCAGCACTTGAAGAGGCGCTTCGGAAGGCAGTACACCAGAGGGATCCTATTAGTGCCTGGTGGCCCATGTACGACGAGTTGTCGAAACCCTGGGCAAATCACCACTCTGGGGTATCGACTTTGACCCGGACTGATTTTGTTCGACTCATTACGGCGCTCAAGGTCTCTCAGCACCCAGCGCGAGTTCAAAGACTGGAAAGACTGTTTGAAGACTTTCATCTCGTCATCGATACCCAAAAGTCAAACGTCAGAGTCTACACCACCTTTCTGGAGACTATCCAGTACTGGAAGATGAAGGAGTTGATGCCCGTCTGGATCCACCGCATCCGATCGAAAATCGTCCTACCAGTACTTGATTCTTCGATTAGCACCCCTTTGGCATCTAATTCACTGGTCCGTGAAAGCCCACAAGAACAATACCATGATCTGATGCGAGTCCTTGCCAATGTCGATCTGATGGAGCCTATGCTGGATTGTCTTCAGGAACTCAAAGCGATCAAGTCGGATCTGCTCGTGCCATCAACTAAGGCCTACGATACTGTCCTGGAAGTCTATATGCGGCGCAAGGACACTACCCGGGCCATGCAACTCGTTCAGGAAATGAAGGACCAGGGACTGCCGCCGCAGCTGACGACATTCAACATCTTACTGAATGCTCACCTCGAGAACAAGGATGCACGTGCCGCACAACGGGTACTTGAGAGTCTGTTACTGACTGATATGAAGCCCGACATCTACACCTTCAACGTGCTCATGGCCGGATACTTGAACATGGGCGAGTTTGAGCTTGTGAACGGATTCTACAAGGGCCTGGGCGAATATGGCCTGGTGCCCAACTCCAAGACCTATCGGATACTGCTCAAGTCGCATCTCAAGCAGGGTCACGTCAAGCAAGTAGTCGACCTGTTTTGCCAGCTCAAGGAAAGTCCAAGACAAGAGCTCCACCCGGGATCAGAGGACTACAGGATATTGATCCAGGCATTGGCCAGTAACGGCAAGATGCCCGAGGCGCTCAAGGTCCTGCAGGAGATGATTGACGGCAAGAAAGTGCCCGTGACAACCTGGATCTACAACGTATTCTTGACGCAGTACGCGAGACAGGGACAAGTGGATAAAGCCCGCAGGATCCTGGACAGGATCATCGCCGAGAAGCTGCCACTCGTCGATGGAAGCATCAACCCCCTGATCCGTGCGTACCTGGCCCGAAAGGATCTGGATCAAGTAGCAGAGATGACTGACCTGTTAACTCGATATGGGATCCAGCCCTCCAGCACCACCTTCAACATCATGATCAACTCAACCAAGGCCTCTGGGAATCTAGAAGGGGCCATGAAGCTGTACGAACGC